CAAATCCTGAAAGCAGCTGAACGAGAGAAAGAGAAGGAAGACAACAGGAAATCAGAAATGCTCAACTGCTGCTCTATAGACATGGCTGATATTATTATGTTCTTTAGAGCAGAGGTCCCCAACCTTTTTTGCGCCACGGACCGGTTTATGCCCGACCTTTACGGCTTTTAAGGTGTCTCGGATAAATACAACAAAATAGAACTAGTACCGGTACCGAAAAAAGATTTATTCATAACACACGTGAAAAGACCCAGGAAAACCAAGTTAACGATAAAAACGATAACAAAATAACCCTGAAAACTGATAAAAACCCTGAAAACCATACATTTCACACCTGAGCCTCAACTCTTGCAGCCCGGTATCAAACGACTCACGGACCGGTACCGGTCCGAGGCCCGGGGGTTGGGACCGCTGCTTTAGAGTACTGTCTATCTGTGCGTGTGTGTGCACACGAGCTTGCATGAACAGATCCTTTGGGCGGGTTTGGTTGCATGTTTGTGGACCTGCTGTTTGTCTTTTTGTTTTGCGCGTGTGTGTGTGTGTGTGTGTGTGTGTGTGTGAGAGAGAGAGAGAGCGAGCAAGAGAGAGAATGGTTGACATCATATATCCAATTCCACGGCAATGATACATTAGCCCTCTGCTGGGCCATCATCTCTCAGTCTTCTCAGTTTTCATCTTTCTCTTCACCTCCCTATACTCCCTGAATCACCTCCCTAAACCTTTCAAGATTCAAATAGGTCATTTTAAGTTGAATCTGTTAAAGTGTAAAGGATGTGTTTTTGTCCATATGTGTGTGCAGGAAAGAACGAGTGTAAGTAATGGGAAAATTGTATTTGTTGTGTTCGTAAAACAATGTGTGTTTGTGAGAGACACAACCAGAGAGGAAGAGCGAGAGCTAGAGAACAGAGAAATATGGGAATCCTTTGGTGCATAAAAACACTTTTGCACCTTTACGTTTGTGCAAGTGTGTGCATTTTCCTTTGTTTTTGTATGTGTGAGTTGTGTAATTTGGCTGTAAAGATATGGATTGTTTTAGGTTTGTTTGGTTGTCTGTGGTTGTGTGTATGCTGTCAATAGTGGTTGGATTAGGGGTAAAGGGGTGGGGGTGGGTGGCTACCATTTTATGTCTATTTACGGTGTGTGTGTGTGTGTGTGTGTGTGTGTGTGTGTGTGTGTGTGAGAGAGTTAGAGCATAGCCGTTTCTCAGAAAGTGAATGTTTTTGCAGCTGCTACAGATTGAAACTAACCGATAAGACATTAAGAAGTATGATTTCATGATTTCCACGGCTACTGCACTGATAGGCATCACATGCTACTTGCAGCGCCAACAAAACAAGACCCAGGCACACATACATGCTCCTACTCAAGAGGCATTTTGACCTTATATGGCAAGTTTGGCTTTGTTTGGCATTAGGTTGGAGGAATGAATGCATTTTTTTTGCACTCTCCAGCATCAGCTTTTCAAATTGTTTACATATTTGTTTGTTACTCCTGTAACTAACAGGAAGATTTAAAAAGTATCAAATACTGCTCATATTGCACTTTTTCATGTAAAATTAACCTTGTTTTATGGAAACCATTCAAACCCAAAAATGTATTACTGATGCAAACCATTAAGTCATGCAAAGTCTGTGAGTAGCCTGTTGTTTTTACTGTACAAATATTATAGTATTTGTCTTGTCAACAGGGGGTTGCTGCATACCATGTTAAATTATTTCAGCATTGTTTGCTTTTTTTTTTTTGCTCAATCTGTCAGTAACCTCTTGACTTCTATACTGATTCCAGTGGTCATAATATTGTCTGACGTTCAGAGATGATTAGTCGCCTCTGATGACATATGTTTTTAGCAGATTTACAGATATTTATTGGTTTGGTTTGTAGGTATTCTAAGGTGGGCTTCCCTACTGACTTCAAGGCGGGAATAAATGGGGTTTTAGCCAGTGGCACATATTTACAACATACTGTAAATCGCACCTGGACATTGTTCTGCTACAGCCATCCATTAGTGGTGACAGCATTCAGGCAAGACGTTTATGAGCTGGGCTGTTAGGATCTTTAAGTCACCCTGTCAGGAGATCGGGGGGAGAGGGGTAGGTGGGTGTGTAAGGAGGTGGTGAAACAAGAAAGAGGGATAAGGTTTAGAAGAGGAAAACAGATGGAAAAGGCAAAAGTGATGCGCTGTGAGAGGAGACGAAGGCACAGGGAAGATGCAGAAGTGGAAGGAAACAGTAAGCATTTGGGAAACAAAGCTTTTATTCATAGAGATTTTTCCCCCCTCCATCCTTCCCATTTTCTCATTCCACCAACACTCTTTTCTAGCTATCATGTTTCTTGTGCCAATCAATAATTTATAGCTGTCGCTCCAGAGCCATGAACCCCTTCAGCTCTCTGAATGACAGATGAGGGTGAGAATGATTATTGGGGCGAAGTGAAAAGCAGTAGGGGCGTAAAAGCAAAAGCAGGTTCATGAAGGGGAAAAAAGGAGCAAAAAATAGCTATACAGAGAAGGCGGTGCAGCAAGTGAGAAACTAACAGAGAAATGGCTGAATATGACACTGGATAAATAACCAAGTGTTGGAGAAAATTTCCCACAGATAATGAAATTATACAGTGAAAATGTCTACCAATTTCCATACTCTCAGAGAACTAATTACAGAACTAAGAGAGAAAATGTCAGCTTCGTGACATCAAAGTGGGGACGCTGCCTACTCATTTTCCCCCTATTTGTGTCTTGATGTTTTACCTAAGCTGCTTTTAGCTTCTAGCCCCACAGCACATTTCTATTCTCCAAGATAAGGGCCACAATTACACATTCGCACACATGGATATGGTTGAGGAATGGAAGATTGTGTATGCATGTGCATAAGCACATACACACATTTATGTGTCGTTTTTTTGGATGCTGCTTTTGTGTGTATTCACAGCACAGTTTATGTGCAATTGGAGAATTGAAAAATTTGGCCTGAAAAACCATGACGTTGTGTCAGTAGCGTTCTGTATTTAAATTTTCCGATGAGTCACAGATCTCCAGGTGAGGCAGTCACACACAGAGGTGCACACATACATACAGAGGTCTAGACAGTCCACAAGGTCCAAATGAAACTGGAAGGTGATGGAGTGGAGGAAACTTATACGTTAAAAACATTTGTTTGTGTGCGAGAGCGAGTGTGTGTTTGTATGAACTTTCGGAAAATAAGTGTATTGTGTCTGCCTCTGTGTGTATGTGTCTGTGAGAGAGAGAGAGAGAATGAGACCCTAGCTCTTCTCCCTCCCACCGGCTCTTGTAATCCTCTGTGTTTTGGCGACCTTGGCAACCTGGTGACAAAACATTCCAGGTGTCGCTTTGATTGAGGTCATGGGTGGGCGAGAAGTGAAAAGATGTTGGAGGTGAGGGAGCAGGATGGACTGAGAGGAGGATAAAGTTCCTGATGGCCTCGGGGTCAGCCATTCAGTTTATTCAGTCATTTCCTGCCTGTGTGTATATATTTTCCCTGCCCATTTCTTTATTTGCTCTTCTTCATGTTTTCCAAAAACATATAAAGGAAAAGTTGTAGATTTAAAATCTGAATAAAATGGATGGAGGTTATAATTATGTTATTGATAATTAGTTTTTTGTTTGTTTGCTTAGAAAATTTATGGTTTTGGCTCACTGTTGTGTACATTGATTCATATTTTGTTTACATTTACTCTCAATCAGGGGTAAATATGGCTGTTGAAGGTGGGATATGGCAAGTCAAACTAAAGAGCATTATTAGTTTAAATTTAAACTTATGACTGACCCAATGTAATGGTGACACTAAAGGCTACACCAGTCCAATAAGGTCCATTACCTTAAACCTTACCACACTGTCTAGCGTGGTAATACATTCCCCTTTTTAAATTCATAACATATTACCATTTTGTTAATTTCTGGGCAGTAAAGCCTCTGTGTCTTTGACTGACATACAGAATCAGTCACACAACCTCTTCTGTACATCTGAAATTAAATGCCACTTTAAAAAAAAGTTTTTTATTGCTCACTTCTGTTGTGTACAACTGGCCAGATGCTGTGCCATGATCACAACTTTATTTATATCTATAACATGAACACATTAAAGCAATGAGAAGGGAAAAAAGGAGGCATAAGTGTGACCATCTGCTTTAAGTGAGCAACTCCATGGCATTAACTGGTAGCAATACCAGACTTCCGCACAAAAAAATATAAACTGACTTTATATTATAAAATCTTCACCTGAATATGATTTGGTTTCTGTAAATTGGAGATGCCAGTATGCTGCTCCAGATTATTCCACGCATTTTAAACCCTGGTGTTGACCCTACCTGTACAGCTTTGACTCTGCATGAGAGAGGTAGTGCTGTAAGTTATAGGCATGTAAATGTATATTTGATTAGTTTGTGATTTAAGATGGACAAATACTGCAGTTTTTTTTTCTGACAGCAACTCACACTGCAAATCTTCATGGGTATTTCTCCAAATCCAGAACTTGTATGTGCTCCCACTGAAAATGAACAAAAGCCCCTGATTAGTCTTGTCAACTGGCAACCAATTTGTTGCTAAATTCAGGCTAAATCAGTGTACTTTGTCTGCTTGGCTTACTGCTGTGAGTAATCTCATAAAGGATAGCTCCAGTGACTAGCTCCCAAGTTTTTGTTGTATGCTTGTTCAGGAGCTTTACTCTTTTTGCCCTCTTTCAATCAGTTTTCCTTCATTGTACAGTCTTAATTTTATTAACTTATAAAGTTAAGACACATACAAAGCCAAGAACGTCTTTTTCTTATGGCTCTAATGGCTAACAGAGTGCTATAACTGGACTCCATAAGCAGGTGTACTGTATAATGATGAGGGGGGGAAAGCATAGTAGTTTGGATAAAACAGATATTACTGATGAAATCAAAGCAATTGAATGAATACAAGACTCACAGTTCCGGCTTCTCTCTTAAAACAGACTAATGAACAGGGGAAAAACATTTGAACACTTAAATTTTCCTTCTCTTTGCAGTGAGAGATGACGAAGATTTCCTGAGTCTGAGTGAGCTCCCAGAAACCTTCCCTTCTGACCCACCGGAACCCTTACCTCACTTCCTGTTTGAACCTGAGGAAGGCTACATTGTCAAGAATAAGCCCGTCAATCTCTACTGCAAAGCAACGCCTGCCACACAGATTTACTTCAAGTGCAACAGCGAGTGGGTCCATCAGAAAGACCACACTGTGGAGGAAAGGGTTGACGAAAACTCAGGTAAGCAAAAGCTAGCACACACATCTAAATAGAGATTTACTTGGACTTTAGCAGAAAGTGGCTGTAAGGCAACTGTCAAACTTTTTGAGAGAGATTTTTTTGGATGAAAAAACAAAACCCAACTGTACTTTTACGTCGAAACCGCTGGAAAATAAATTGCTTTTTAAAAAACAAACAAACTAGAAAATAGCAAAAATGCTCAACATATTTAGACTTAACTCATTAAAATCTAAGAATTATGTATTGGTGGAGGAGCTTTCTGGTGTATGTGTACGTTTTTGCAAAATCTGTTTCTAACTGGCTTGTAGTGACTAAGGTAGGCAAGGCATTATAAGTGTAGAATCTGTCCATCTTAGTCCTGTAACCACAACATAGACTTCATAGAATACATAGTTAAAAAATTTCTGCCACTCTATTCATAGAAAAATTCATCTTCAATTAATTGTGATGGTTTTTTTTGTTTTTTGTTTTTTTATTTAATTGTAAGTGTGTGAAAGTGTAGTTCATGATTATAGTTATAAACAGTATCCTTCAAAATATGGGGCAAATGACATGTGTTTTGATTCAGTGATTCAGTTTTGGGGGTCATGACTATCCTTATAATGACAGGTGACAAAAAATGTAATGTATTTAAATTAATTCATTTACTGATACCAAAACAAAATAATAATAATTTTTAAACACTGTGAAAACAGAAAATGAGCTGTAAGCATGCAGCTTTGAACAAGAGGTGTATTTATCATTTACACATATATTTGACACAGTCTGCAGCAGATGTTACTTGCCATACATCATACAGAGGTTGTTTGTATTACATGTTATTTAAAATCAGACCGTTAAAATGGGCTTTTAACATGCCTACACTGCATAGTCAATTAAGCCCCCTTTCCCTTTTGATTTATCTGGGCATTTGTCAGTGTCTGGCCCTGTTGATATTTTGCTCTTTGTGATGTGTCCAAATTTTTTGTCTCACTGGTACACTGGAAGCTCACAGGTTAAATCCATTATTCAGATGTTTTATTTGTCCAGAAAGGTAGGTCACATGTCAGATGTGTGTACACAGCTGTCCCACTGCCAGTGCTGTACTGCGATGTTCAGAGGACATTTTAATGGGATCCACAACGATGTACTGGATCGCAGCCAAAGTTCCACACTTGTCGCTTGACAGCACATGGTATTACTCTGCAGGCTAGGTAATGATGAATCATGCTGTTGCTTTGGCAGGAATACAAAGATATACACAACCTGGTTTCTTAGACTTAAGGTTGACGTGAGCTCAGCTTATGGGTTTCCACCTGCTTGATAATAAGCTTCGGTCCCCAGAGCAAGCAAAACTGAAACACATGCTTGGCTGGAAAAAACAATTGGGTCAACAAACAGCAGCATAAATCAGAATTGTTATTTTGGCTTATGCATATCTCTCTCTCTCTCTCTCTCTCTCTCTCTCTCTCTCTCTCCATATATATATATATATATTAGGGGTGCAACAATACACAAAATTCACGGTTCGGTTTAATACTTTGGTGTCACGGTTCGATATTTTTTCGATACAAACAAATGTTCATGTTTTTTTTAATTTGTCATTTATTAAAATTATAAATATATATTTTAACT